TCAAGTAAATGTTGGAAATGTAAGAGACATGAGGGCTCAGTCTACCATATGTGGTGGACTTGTGAGAAAGCTGTAGACTTTTGGACAAAAGTCCACAATGAAATGCAAAAAATACTGAAATGCTCTTTTAAAAAAGCACCTGAAATTCTGCTTTTGGGATTAAAAATGGAAGAAGTCAATACGACTAAAAAGACTTTACTCTGGTACTTAATAACAACAGCGAGAATGATTTATGCACAATTTTGGAAAACTGAAAAAGTACCAGAGATCGAAGACTGGATACAAAAAGTTCTGTTCATGGCTGAAATGGACAAAATTACAAAGAAACTGAATAATAGGGAAGACGACGTATTTTTAGAAGACTGGAATGACTTTAAAACATATCTGGAAAAGAACTGGGATGTGAAACAAAATTTAATATGTTTAGAACAATATTAGATTAACTGATGTTATCTTGAGATGGTAGTGATGAGAAAATGATTTAACTGATGATATACTGTATTGTGGGTGGAAGGGTGGAAGCATTGCGGGAAGCCACAGGAGGAAGGGGAGGTAATGGGAATGGGGTAAACAATGGAAAATTGGAAATAATTAATGTTGGATGTTAAGTTCCTATTGAAAAATAAAATTTTGTTTACCAAAAAAAGAAAGAAAGACCATTTCAAAAACTGAGATGAGCTTTTACACAGTTCAACGTTTATTAAAAAGTTTGGATCTCTGTTTCACCCCAAACCTTCCTCACTAGGGCATTTTAATTATTTAGACACATCTTACAGAAAAAGCTTCTTTGGGTGAAATCTAGCAAGTTTTTAAAAATGCTATGAGTGTTTAATATCCCTCCTGCTTTTTTGCAAACATGTTTTAATTTCACGAAACAAAAAAACCCAACACAATAGATTTAACAATTTTTATTTTTTCAACCACAAGTTACCACACTGGCCATTTTAATTTACAGAAAAACTTTCAGAATATCTGTGTATTTGAATTTATTATTATTACAGCGCATAGCCAGCAATATAAAACCATACCTACAAATATTTACCATATAAATAAATTACAATGTCAAAAGGATCCAGATGGTAAATCTATTATGATAAGACAAGGTTAAATAAAAGTAAAATTGTACAAGCGTTTTTATCACTAAAACCAAAAGTACGGTGTAATGTTGGACAAAATTTAATCCTAAAAAGGTAAAATAACGAAAGTGAAAAGATCAATAAGATTAAAATCAAACAGACTTAACCCAAATGGCTGCCTGGACGCTGATGAGCTTTTACAACCAAAAAACAAAATGTCGCTATCTGATGCAGCGCTATATGATCAGAATTAGAAAGCAATTTCTCTATCTTATCCTGATCTGAGGAGCTGACCAAGAGAGGGTCAATATGTTTTGTGCGAGCTTCGTTACATAATGGACACCCCAGGAACACATGTTCCTGAGATTCGATCTCCCCAGACGCACACATACATAGCCTCTCATTTCGGGGAGTTTTCTTGAATTTGCCCTCAAGAACTGCAGAAGGTAACGCAGAGCATCTAGCCAGAGTATACGCCCTAACATCTGTGTATTGAAATGATTTGTGCAAACATTTCTCAACAAGGATCACAAAAGTGGGGTCACAACTCTGATAGAGCTCCTTTAATGGTGTTTGAGGATGCTCAGCACTGCAGATGGAATCTAACATTCTCCCCATATTAACAAGATCCTAGAAACTGATGCTAAAAACCTCTAAAACACTCCCTATCAGCAGTGTTCCCTCTAAGCTGAGTTAGTGTGAGCTAGCTCACAGCTTTTTAGCCTCCGGCTCACACATTTTTGTCTCAGCTCAGGAAGGAGGGCTCCAGAGCACATTAATTTATGCTTAATGCCAGCAGCTCACAAAGAAGAATTTTTGCTCACAAGACTCCACAGCTTAGAGGGAACATTGCCTATCAGTGTAATTAAATTTACTATAGCATGTGTGTTCAGCTGGGAACATGCAAATTTTAGATTCTCTTCATAAACCTCCTCTGGCCAAGACAGACAGGCGTGTGAATTTTGTCCAGGTCTCTCTAAAACACAGCCATCACGTTTGGTGTAGCATAGGTCGTTAAAGCATCTATTCACAACCACATGGACAGAAGCGGAGAGCGGCTGATTCATAATGTAGCGTGGAGATGCTGTCTTGAAATCAGGAACCACATCTTTTGTGAGGCCTGCATGTTCTTGGAGCATCCAGTGGGTGAAATCCTTGTTCCCAGCAAAATCTAGGAGCCAGATTTTCTAGAATAAAGCAAATGGAACAAAAACATATTACATACAGAATTCTAACCCCACACACACCTCCACCCGGCCACTCAGCCACCCATACACACCTTGAAAGTAGGTATTCAAAGACAGCAGCTGCTGATTTGATTCCTCCTCATCTTCCCCTAACGGTGGTGCAAAAAGCCTCTTTGAAATGACTGGGCACTCATTCTCTTTGTCAGAATCTGAACTCAGCGCACGTCTTCGCATTTTTGGAATGTTCCTAGGCACATCAGGAACAAGTGGATCGAAGTCTGATGCCCCAGGTGTGCTTGTCATTGGTCCTGGGAATCCAGCAGAAACAGATGCTGTGGTGGTGGGTGTGTGGCTCTCCCATTTTTAAAGAGAGGCTGGCTGGGGAACACCCCCCCCTCCTTTCCTTTGCAGGAAAGGTGGTGTGTGTGTGTGTTGATTATCCAGTCTGTTTACCAGCCTGACGGTTTGCAGGCTGTCAGCTGTGAATTTTGTCAGTGTTTAAAAACCGTGAGCTGCCATTGGCTCCTTTGAAACTCTAAGCACGCCCCTCTCTGCCCTGTCCTATGAGGGTGTGAAATTTTCAATGCCTGTGAAAGCGAGCGCTGACATTGGCTGGTGGGAATCTTTAGCCCAGCCTCCCTCCCACCCACCAGACACCGCGCAGACTCATTCTCACTCTAGGGATTCAGTCTCTCGCCAGCAGACCGCAGGCCTGGATGAAAGTTTGCTTTTGTACTCTTTATTTCTTTTAAAAAGGAAGGAAACAGGGAGGGTGGGGAGTTTGAGGGGGCAGGCATTCTGGTTGTCCACAGTAAGTAAAATCGTGTTGCTGTGTGTCTTTTAAAAGGCTGTTTTTAAACTCTTGCTTTTAAAATGGGGATCTGTGTGAATCAGGTCCCGTTCACACTGGCCGATTTGAGCCGGGAGCGGGACAGTTCGGGGCCGGATCAAACCGGCGCGATCACACCACAACATCTGGGAAGCGTCTTGCTTCCGTGGCCGAACTGTCCCTTCCCCGCAGTAATCTGCCGCAAACTGAACCACCTACCTTAGGTGGTTCAAATGGACGCGGCGCAGCAACCGGGGCGTTTGATCGCCGGCGCGTCTTTGCGCCGGCACAACCCCAGCCCGGAGCCGAACTGCGCATGCTCTGACATGCGCAGTTCGGCCGGCTAGGCTTCTGAGCTGTGTTTTCTCCCCGGCGTCTGATCGCGCCTGGGAGAAAAGGCGCCGCGGCCAGGGGATCCGTGGGATCCCGCCGCGGCGTCTCAACGTTTTAAAAGCCGCGCCTTAAAGAGGCTTTTCCCCTGCCGTGTGGAAGGGGCCTCAGCTTTTTTTCTCTTGCTAGAACTGGGGGGCTGCTTGCTTGGAGCTAACTAAAGATTTTCCCTCTGTGGGGCAGGGGAAAACGTTTGCACGGGGGATTTTTATAAATCTACATGGCATGTCAGGGAAATGTGTGCTTCATTAGAGAACATTGTTTAAAGACTCTGTTTCAAGTTTTGCTCTCTCTCTCTCTCTCTGCCTGGGGCTTTGTTATGTATCCCATGCAGAACTGCACAAAAGCTGCAGACAGCGTTTTCTAAAGACACAGAGAGGGAACCTTTTGCTCTCTGTTGCTTGCAGGGGGAGGAAGGGAGGGGGAAGCTCCAAGATCTGCCTCTCTGCCTGGGGGCTTACAGAGGTCTGTTGGGCTCTCAGTGGGGCTGGGGGCTCCACAGGGGGTCCTGGAGAGGAGGGCATTCTGTAAAGAGTAGAACTTTTTTCCCTCTCGCTCTCTGTCAGGAGGGGGACATCTCTCTGGGGTGGGGCTCCCTGGAGCCGGCCAAAAGACCCTGGAGGGGCAGTCTGCACTAAGGGATTTTTAAAAATACAATGTTAGCACAAGCATTTTACACGCATTTACAGCAAAAAAGCGTACACTCTATTTCACACATGTCCTAGGCCCCCCAAACCGGTTCAAAGCATTCCCCAGCCACAAAAGCCCCCCTTTGCACCCAAAAGAGTCAACACACCCAGGGATGCCATTTTCCCAACCCACGGCCAGGTGCTACACCCTTGGGGGAAAGCTGCCATGTGCTCGCCACGCCCCGAGGGCTGACAGTGGCAGCCACCTTGCCAACCCTTCAAGCATGGCCCTCGAGGAGGAGGGACTAAACCACGAGAAGGGAGGGGGAGCAGCTGTCACTGATGACGGGTGGTAGCACTCTTATTCTTCTTATGGATAAGTCATGCTAGTTGATATTTTAGAGATGGTTTTATAAGTATCAATCAATCAATAAATAAACCTTTAAAGGCATATACAACATTAAAAATGGTTTTATAAGTAATTTAACTTATATCACTTAATATTTTAAGTTAATAGTGGTTTATTTATGTATTTTACAAATATTATATTCCTGTCTAGGGAACAGAAATGTTTTAAGTTTGAGGTTTTACTTCTTTTATTGTGTACTGGTCAATGACTGCAATAACTTTACTTACTTACTTACACATTAATGTCCATGGAAGGGTCTAGAAGAAGCGAAGAGCTCTGGTCCTTTTGGGATCGCCCTGGCACCAAAACGGCCTTTGCAAACAGGTGTGGCTTTTGAGTCTTCGGATCCTGACCGGGACTCCGTAAAAACTATCCGTAATCCCCCCCCCACTTCCAATAGCCAGGGACAGCCGCACCAAACACAGGGGACTCTCTGTTCCACGGCCTCCAGGTGGCGTCACCTGTGGTCGTGAATGCGAGATGCCAGAGACCAGTGATCGTGGTGTGCGCTGTTGTGGTGGGTGCCTGTGGTTGGTGGGGATCTGAGGGTGAATTGAGGGATGGGGGTGTTTCCCCAATGCAAAAACTGGGTGGATCCCTGCTGTGGCAAAAGTGCATTTTGGGGGAGTCCTGCTGATTTTGTGTAGTTCCAGTTTGATAGAGCCAGTTTGGTGTAGTGGTTAAGTGCTCGGACTCTAATCTGGGAGCACCGGGTTAGATCCCCCACTCCTCCACTTGCACCTGCTGGATGACCTTGGGCAAGCCGTAGCTCCGATAAGAACTGTTCTTCTTCTTCCTCTTCTTCTTCTTGAGTTGGAAAAGACAAGTGCTGAAAGCTGGAGGCTCCATCCAAGAGGGGTCTCCGGAGAACCAACCCCCCCTTCCCTGTTGGGCTTTCTGACCTTCGGCGGTGGCGGAGGTGGGGCTGGCCCTCAGAGAGGGGTGTCTGTGTGTATGGAGAGAGGGAACAGGCGGTCAGGCTCTGGAGCCGCCTGCTGTGGGGCCGGAGGGGGGGGGGTAAGGTGGAGAGAGAGCCACTCACCAGACCTCCCTCTGCCCCCCGGTGTGTGTCCCTCGCAGCCGCCCACTTCCTGCACCAGCACAAGTCCGAGTGCCGCTACGCCAACAGGACTCGCGGGGAGGTCCGCTACCTGCTCAGGTACATCTATGACCGGCACGAGTTCGTGCGCTTCGACAGCTGCCACGGGGACTTCGAGGCTGTCACCGAGCTGGGCCAGCCCTTCGCCCGCTACTTCAACAGCCAGAAGGAGGTGCTGGACAGCCTGCGGAGCGCCGTGGAGAGCTTCTGCTGCCACAACTACGGGGTCTTTGTCCATGGGCGCGCCATCGGCAGGACAGGTGAGTGGGGCGGGGGGAATGGGAAGGGGCAGGGCTCCGGGCACGGGCGGGAGGGGACGCCCCTCCCCTCCTCCCTCTGGGGCTCCCGGCCAGCGAGGGAAGAGGAGGAGGAGGAGGAGGAGGAGGAGGAAGGCGGGGCAGGAAGCCCCGGGGGGGCGTCTCTGGGCAGCTCTTCTTCCATCCACCCGAGGCTGGGAGGTGTGCAGCGGGAGTGGCTCCTTTTTTATTTGCAAGGCTGGCTCCCTTCCGCCTGCCTCTGCTCCCCTGCCCGGACATGGGAGAAGGCGCCTTCTTTGCCCTGGAGATGTGTGGTGGGAGCCACTTCCCTGATTGCCTCTCTGCCATGGCAGGGCACAGGCACCACCCCGTATAGAGGAAAGCCTGAACACCAGGTTGTGACGTCATCAAATGTAGTCATAACATTCCCTGAACTCTGCATTTGCCAGCTACTGTCACAAGTGTTTTAACTTGCAGTTTCTCGTGTACTCAACAAGATATTCTCTTGGTTCTTTCACTGCAGTATTCCAGACACTTCACACTAGCTTACAGTGTTACTGAGTTCAGTTTTCATTGCATATTTGAGTGTATGTTTAGTATAATTTACAAGCATATAATATTGGATAGTGGTGGATGTATGTTGCATGATGGTATTGTCAAATAATACCAAGTGTTTAATAACTTCTGGTTTTCAGTTTTACTTTTTATTTACCATTGACACAGCATGAGATAGTAATATGCACAAGCTCATAATTAGGTAAGAAGTTTTCACATACAGTAAACTTCAATCATGATCTCCAGTTACCAAAAAAGAACAGCTACACAGGATATTGGTGTACATTCACAAACGTTCAAGGGAACCAACAAATGTAATAGAAAGACAATACAACAATCAATCTTCCTATGGAACTTCTTTTGAGGAAATTAATAAATTAGAGGAAACTATAGAAACTACACATTGTGGCCTTCAATGAATCTAAATCTCCCCAGTTGTTATTTCAACTCAAGTTGTTGCAGTTCATGGGCAAATTAATGTAAAAGGCAACCACATACCTGTAAGGCAAAAGCAGTCCATATGACTAAATCTGAGTAATTCTGCAATGTATCTAACAACAGTCCCTTAGACACAAGAAATGTAAACAACCAAAAAGGAGCATATAAATCCTCTCCTACCTTTCAAATATTAATGAGTGATTCAGTCCATATAATATGTTTTACTGGCTTCTTTGACAATGCAACCTTAATTCCTTTTAAAGATGATTTACATGCGCTCCTGCACTGACATCTGAATTAGTTGCTGCATTTAAGTGCATTAACACATAGTTTTTGATGCGCTGTTATTGTTATTGAGGGAGTGTTGTGAGACAGGTAATTGAAATCCACAATTGCATACAAAATTTTGGCTTTGACAGCGTGCTCTCCAAAAGGTACTGCACAGTTTATGAAGTTCAGAGCATAATTTCCAAAATTATTTGCACTGCACATAAGCTTAGTTTACAACTATGCGTGAAATTGTGTCTGCCTACCAAAATATATATCATACATTCCTAGTTATAGAAAACAGTTTGTATGCTACACATTAACATGATAAAATTTTACTCACCCGTGACGATTGCGATGGAGTGAATTTATCACGATGGATGGAAGAAATCCACGTCTCTTTCAGAAGAGCATCAGATGGAAACTTGAAAACATTTACTTTGTGACCCACATTGTAATTGCCTTTACATTCCGGAACACAACAGCGAAAAGGCATATTTAATCCAGAACTGAAAAGCAGCAACTGTTGGGCAGGCTACTAGGTATCGTCACTCTAGACCTGTTGGGATTCTTATTTAAAGTTTGTTAGCAGAGTATTAAAGAGGCAGAGTCCATGGTGTGTTTAAAATATAAAAGTTTACTGCAACCTAGCATGGGAAAAGGTACACAGGATATAAAATAACAAAGAGCAAAAATGTCTACATCCTCACAGCTAAACTGGAATGGCAGAATGGTCGGCTTCTTCTTAATCAGAACAAAGAAACAAAGAGGCGGGAAGAGAAGCCATAAAATGCAATCAAATGCTCTCACACCAACAGCCAACACTAGTCTCCTTTTACTGAAGTCTTTCAGCCAACGGAACACTCCATCAACTGAATTCAAACTGCCAAACTCTCTACCTCTGCTATATTCAACAAAACATTCCTCACACTCTTAACTCCAAACTCTCTAACTCTGCTATATTCAACAAAACATTTAAAGGAACACAACCAATTAACTGAAATCATTACACAGGGTGTGATTCACACAAAACAGCAGCCCTCTGCTTAGCCCCACATAACCACACAGGGAATGTTATGACTACTCTCATCGCCATTGCTGTTACGTCCGGACCTGGTGTTCAGGCTTTCTCTATAGGGGGTGGTGGCACAGGGCGCTTGTGTGATGCAGGCAGGACAAAGGATCGACACAGAAAGTTGGACTCCCCTCCCCACTGGATCTCCCTCCTATTCTTAGGTGGTGGGGGGAGCACAACGGTGCCCGGAACTGGCTGCCCACGCTTTAAAGTCTACATACACTGGTTGCCCCGGGGGAGGCTGGAAAATTTTGGCGGCAGACCAAGCCCCCCCCCAAGATAGCGCCTATGATCAAAATAAGCGAAACGCTTTGTCAGAGGAGGCTCTGACCACTCAGAAAGAGGCAGCATTTCATGTGAGCTCCCCCCTCCCCAAGTCTTCCTCAAAATTTCCCAGTTTCCCCACTGGAAAAATTCGCAAGCTAGATGTTTTGAGTGTGGAAAACCTGGCCTTGAGAGTCATTTTGAATGAATGTTTATTTGCGGTCAAAGACCCTTTCTCATAAGCGTAGGAGTCATTTTACCAATTCCAAAAGAGAAAATACCTTGATGCAGTGTTCCCTCTAAGCTGAGTTGGTGTGAGCTAGCTCACAGTTTTGTAGCCTCTGGCTCACACATTTTTGTCTCAGCTCAGGAAGGAGGGCTCCAGAGCAAACTAAGTTGTGCAGCAGCCAAATCACTTTAATGCCAGTAGCTCACAAAGTAGACGTTTTGCTCACAAGACCCCACAGCTTAGAGGAAGCATTGCCTCGATGGAGTTTCTTCTCAGTGTTGCCCTAACTTTTGGACAAACTTTCCATCAGAAAAACTGAAAAAAGGCCACCAACCCAACACACACACCTTTTCCTGGATTTGTCAGGGTTTTCCCCCCAGGGGCTCACCTGTCGCTAGGCACCAATTCTCTCTCTCAGCTGTGGAGTCTTGTGAACAAAAATTCTACTGTGTGAGCTATGGAAACTAAAGCTGTGAGCGAGCGATTTGGCTGCTGCATCAATGAGTTTGCTCTGGAGCCCTCCTTCCTGAGCTAAGGCAAAAATGTGTGAGGCGGTGGCTAAAAAACTGTGAGCTAGCTCACACGCACTCAGCTCAGAGGGAACGTTGCTAGGGACCTGGACTGAACAGGTGAAAATACGGCCCCCCATCACTTCATGGCCCCATCATGGTGCAGAAACTGGGATCCTGAGCCTAAAGGGACCGCCTTTCCCCACATGTTCCCCAGAGAGCACTGAGGTCGGGGACTCAAAACCGCCCGACTGTCCCTGGCCTAAAGGATGCCCGGAGAGTGATTTCAGCAAATACTCAGGTTTATTCAGCTCGACGATCACTTCACCAACACGGTACAACATCTGATAGCCCGAACAGCTTTTCCATTGCAGCTGTCCGGTATTTAAACAATTCCTGGCTAATATAGCCACGCCTATTTTACATTTAACAACCTATCAGGTTGATCGCATAACAGACCAATCATAAGCGTTCCCGCTTACATACAGTTCAAATGTGATTGGCCACACTGTCTTCGGCGCGAATCCCTGCCGAAGCCTGAAGCTTTACATAGCTTCTCTATGGGATAATTCCACATTCATCCTAATGCATTCAGGGCAGCATCTGAATACATGACACAGGGCCTTCTCAGTGGCGGCCCCAGACTGGTGGAATGAGCTCCTGGAGGACATCAGGGCCCTGCAGGACCTTCTACAGTTCTGCGGGGCCTGTAAGACGGAGCTCTTCCACCAGGCCTTTGATTAGGGGCCGCCACTGAGGAATGAGTGTTGGAAATTGTACCGGCAAGGCCCTATCCTATGTTACAGCCATTAAGACAACTAGACACCGGCTTACCTATATTGGCCCACTCCAGCAAATGCCATCGGCACCAATTTGCACTGTATGTATTGTAGGTTTAAATTTTATATTTTACTTTATTTTATTGTATTTATATTTTACTGTATTTTAGTGTATGTATGCCGCCTTGAGCCGCATAGCAAGCAAGGCGGGATAAATCTAAAATAATAAATAGATAAATAAATAAAGTCAGCTGCAGTGCCCAGTAAGGGGTGCTTCCCTCTTTCCCCCCGAAAAAAGACCAAGGCGACAGAGAGCCAAGGGGGGGGTCCCTCCCTATGGATTCTCCTCCATCGTCGTGTTTGAGGCCACCCACCAGGTCTCCGTCTACTCAGGCTTTCAAGTAAGGGGGTTGATTTTCTAAAATCACTCTATGGTTCGTGTTTAGAAATGGTTGAAGTTCGTTTAAGCAGATCGATTATGATTATTTTTTAAATTCTCTGGCTAGGGTCTTTTAAGGCTGAGTTTTAGATCAAATCAAGTTAGCTGAAATCCAGCCTGCCCTAGAAGTGAAAGTGACTAAACTGAGGCTACGGTACCTTGGTCTTTGTCGTGAGAAAATGTGTGTGGCTGCACGTGTCTGTGAATGCGTCTACCCCTGCCACCCACACTCCCCCTCTGGTTCGTGTGTCCCCTGAGTGTTGCCTCCTTACCAAAGGCAGAGGGGTAAGCTTGGAAACCGCTAAGCGCTGGCAGGGACACTCAAAGGTCTCTTCTTAAAATAAAACTTATCTTTATTAAAGAAAAACATTCAAAAATTTACCAACACAGTATACTCCTATTTCCTAAATGCTGATCGTAAAAACACAGACAATAAACATGCAAGCAAAGTCCCCCCCAAAGCATGCAGAAAAACGAAAGGCCTTCCAGGCTGACCCCCAAAGTCTCAGGAGAGTAAAACCTCTCCTGATCCTTCAAGAGCCAGCAAAGGTCTGTTGAGACTGACCAGCATTTATACCAAATGATCAAAGAGGTCCCTCAATAATTAAATTACAGTTATAAATTAACATTTTGAAGTTAAAATTGTTTTACAGGAGATTGCTTCCTTGTGTCTCACACTCCAAAAGTGACATTTTACAGGATCAGTACAGTGTCATTGTTTTTCCTGGTGATCCTACCGTGGGAAATAAACGGTCCTTTGATGTTATCTCTCAGATGGGAGTGTGAATCTCTGTATCTCAGGAAGTTAGTTTGCCTTCGGATTGAAGTCTGTCACTGCCCAAATGGCCTTTCCTGCCAGCTGCAGTTTATTGCCTAGGAAATTGTGGGTCTCACACCTATGGAAATTTACACTGATTCAGATCCTGGGAATGGAATGTGTGAACTTTTGCGTGCGTGACTGAGAAAGAGATTTGCTTGGAACAAAGGGCTTGCAAAGAATCATGTTTGGTTCAGTGAAGCAGGCCAAGCCTGTTTGCTGTTTTGCTAGCAAAGACAGAAACAGATACATGGATTTTATAAACTATTTGGTTCATTTTTAAACCCAAACCTTCTATATTTCTAAAATTTCTTACCACAGTCATGCCACAAGAATGCCAGGAAAAAGGGGAAGGAGGCAGGCATATGAGCAGGATGGGCTCAAGAAAAGAAACCATGGTGCTCAGTTGCCAAGACCCGAGCAGGGCTTTGAAGGAAAGGACATTTGGGAGGCCATTCCTTCATAGGGTCTCCATAGGTGGGAAGAGACTTGATGCTGCTTAACATCCATCCGTCCCCCTCCCTTGAGTCGCTGTGGCTGGTGGTGACTGCTTGAAGAAACCTCCACGGGCAGCCGGAAATAGAACCCGGGAAGCATTTTGTGGCAGGAGGCTGCCCCCTCTGGAATCTGAGTTGGGCACACCCGTTAGCATCTAAAGTCATGTGTGCCCAGTTGAGTACGGGGCAGGCACCCGAGGGTATGCGGGACGTGAAGTGGTCAGTGTCAGTCTACTGTGAGCGGCAGATCCTGGGAAGCATCCAGGGGGGAAGACCTCCTCCTTGTGAGCTTCACAGAGGACAGAGGGGACCTTCAATCAGGAGCCAAAGGAGGATTTAGAGATCCCTTTGAATTCCCCAGGGTATTTCCAGAAGAGTCTCCAGCAGGGGCAGCAACTGCCAGGCCACCCCTGTTGAAAAGCTCTTCTAGAATGTTCGAATGGACCCAGCAGGTGGTTCTGGGGGAGTCTTCAGGTGGATTCTTCTCACCAAGAGAAGGCAGGTCTAGCCGGGTGGGGGTTTGATCCTGCAAAGGAAATCCTAGAGTTTTGGGAAGCAAGAAGGAAGTGTAGGAAGCTGAGAGAGGTGCCTCTGTGCAGGGGCCCGGAGGTGAATTCGTGGATCTTTGACTGCCCTGGAGGGTGGGAGAGGCCACGAGATTGTGCCTTTAGAAATATGTCAGCTGCAGACATGGGAAAGTCCACCTCTTCTCCATCCGTCTCTGCTTCTCTGGTTCTCCTCCATCTCTGAAATCCCCCCTCTCTTTTCAACACACTTCCAGTTGTGCCCACGGTGACGATCTCCCCCACCAAGGGGGACCCCCTGGCCCACCACACCCTCCTGATCTGCACCGCGGCCGGCTACTATCCCCAGGGGGTGAACATCAAGTGGCTGAAGAACGGGCAGGAGCAGACGGCGGGGGTGGGGTACGCGGAGGAGCTCCAGAACGCGGACTGGGCCTACCAGTACCAGGCGATGCTGGAGACGGTGCCCCAGCGGGGAGACCTCTACGCCTGCCAAGTGGAGCACAGCAGCCAGAAGGAGCCCATCACCGTGCAGTGGGGTAAGGGAAAATCTTTTTCCCCTTCGAAGAAAGGCTGAAGAGGTCAGGGCTCTTTAGCTTGGAGATACGACGACTGAGGGGTGACTCGACAGAGGTTGACAAAATTATGCATGGGGTAGAGAAGGTGGAGAAAGAAGTGCTCTTCTCCCTTTCTCACACGACAAGGACTCCTGGGCATTCAGTGAAATTAATGATCAGGAGGCTTAGGGCAGAGCAAAGGAAGTCCTTCTTCACCCAAAGAGTCATGAACACGTGGAATTCACTGCTGCAGGAGGTGGTGGTGGTGGCTACAAGCATGGGCGACTTCAAGAGGGGACTAGATGAACATCTGGGGCAGAGGTCCATCCGTGGCTGTTTGCCACAAGGTCCAGAGGGAACATTCTGTCTGGGGCAAGGGATGCTCTGTCTTCTTGGTCCTTGAGGGGGGGCAAGAGTGGGAGGGCTTCTAGTGTCCTAGCCCCACTGCTGGACGTCCTGAGGGCCCCTGGTGCAGAGGTCATTTTGGAGGGATCGCGGGGGATCGCAGTTCCCCTGGGTGAGGTGTGGGGGCGGGGCATACGACGAAGCCCCGCCCCCTGCTTCCTGCCGCCCCGCTTCTGGCCCTCATTCAGCCAGGAGGAGG